GGCAGCCTGTGGGGAGGGAGGGGACAGGTGAGGTGAGGTGAGGAAAATATCCCGGACAGGTGTCCCAAAAATCCCAGCCAGGTGTTCCCAAAAAAATCCCAAAAAATCCCGGGCAGGTGTCCCAAAAATCCCGGACAGGTGTTCCCAAAAAAATCCCAAAAAATCCCGGGCAGGTGTTCCCAAAAAAATCCCGAAATATCCTGGACAGGTGTTCCCAAAAATCCCGGACAGGTCTCCCCAAAATGCCTCCAAATCCCCAATTTTAACCCAATTTTACAGTTTTTTCCCCATTTTCCACCCATTTTCTTGCTCCAGGTGCACCCAGGTGTGCCCAGGTGTGCCCAGGTACCCCAAAACCCCCAAAATCCCTAATTTTAACCCAAATTTCCCCAAATTTCCCTAGTTTTCCCCATTTTCCTCCTCCAGGAACCCCAAAACCCCCAAAATCCCCAATTTTAACCCAAATTTCCGCAAATTTCCCCAGTTTTCCCCATTTTCCTCCGCCAGGAACCCCAAAACCCCCAAAATCCCCAATTTTAACCCAAAATCCCCAATTTTAACCTGAAATCCCCAATTTTAACCCAAATTTCCCCATTTTCCCCCCTCCAGGAACCCCAAAACCCCCCAAATCCCCAATTTTAACCCAAAATCACAACTTTTAACCCAAAATCCCCAATTTTCACCCCAAATCTTGAATTTTAACCCAAAATCCCCAATTTTTAACCCAAAATCCCCAATTTTAAACCAAAACCCCAATTTTAACCCAAATTTCCCCATTTTTCACCCCAAATTTCCCCAATTTTCACTCAAAATCCCCAATTTTCACCCGAAAACCCCAATTTTAACCCAAAATCCTGAATTTTAACCCAAATTTCCCCAATTTTAACCCAAATTTCCCCAATTTTCACCCAAAATCCCCAATTTTCACCCGAAAACCCCAATTTTAACCCAAAATCCCTGATTTTTAACCCGAATCTCCAGGTGAGCTCACCTTCGATGTCGATGCTGACGCTGCTCCCCTGATGCTCCGCCCGGCACCGGAAGTTCCTTCCCTCGGCCTCGGCCACGCCCACCGTGACGCGGGAGCTGCGGCCGTAGCGGCCGGCGCCCGTCAGCACTTCCGGGAACTCCCGGCTGGCCCCGCCCTCGGCCACGCCCTCCCACGTGATCTCGGCCGGCGACGGGAAAAAACCGGAAGCCAGGCAGCCGAAGGTCACCTGATCCTCGCAGGCCTGGCAGGTGTAGAGCGGGAAAAGCTCGGGGGAGCGGGCGGGCTCTGAGGGGAGAGGGGGGTAATTAGCATGAGGGAGGCCACGCCCACATCCGGGGAAAAAAATCCCGGTCGAAAACACCCAAGAAACGCCAAAAAAAACCCCAAAAATCTGATCCAAGATGGCTGAAAATCTGATCCAAGATGGCTGAAAATCCATCCAAGATGGCTGAAAATCCATCCAAGATGGCCGAAAATCGATCCAAGATGGCCGAAAATCGATCCAAGATGGCCGAAAATCCATCCAAGATGGCTGAAAATCCATCCAAGATGGCCGAAAATCCATCCAAGATGGCTGACCAAGATGGCTGACCAAGATGGCTGACCAAGATGGCCTACATCTCAACAGGAAAATGGCGGGAAAATACCAAGGGAGAGGGCGGGCTCTGAGGGGAGAGGGGGGTAATTAGCATGAGGGAGGCCACGCCCACATGCAGGGAAAAAAATCCCAGTTAAAAACTCCCAGATTTGACCCAAAAACCACCAAAAATCAGATCCAAGATGGCCGAAATTCGATCCAAGATGGCCGAAATTCGATCCAAGATGGCGGCAAACCCCCCACACCAAAAAACTCCCGAATTTGCCCCGAAAAAACTCCCAAAAAATCCGATCCAAGATGGCCGAAAACCGATCCAAGATGGCCGACCAAGATGGCCGACACCCCCCCCCCACAGAGAAATGGCGGGAAAACCTCAGGGGGGGGGGAGGGAGTTAATTAGCATAAAGGAGGCCACGCCTCTTAATTAAAATCTTCATTAAAATCTGAATTAAAAACTCCCAAATTTGACCCAAAAAAAACCCAAAAAAATTCGATTCAAAATGGCCGAAAATCCCCTAAAAAAAAAAAAAAAAAAAGGCGGGAAAACGCCGGGTGGGCGTGGCTTTTTTGGCGGGAAACCCCGCTTAATTAGCATAAGAAGCCACGCCCACAACCCCCCCCCAAAAAAACCCCGAAATTTCCCCAAAAAAACCTCAAAAACAACTCCAGGAAATTGCGGTTTTTTGACGAGGCCACGCCCCGTCTGGGAGTGACGTCATCGGTGACGTCACGGCGGCCACGCCCCCTCCCTCGGGGGAGCCTCAGGTGAGAGGAGCCGGATCCAGGTGGGAGAATTTGGGGTGAATTTGGGCGATTTTGGGTAAATTTGGGGCGTTTTTCGGTGATTTTTGAGTTTTTAGGTTCGGTTTTGGGGTGAATTTGGGCGATTTTGGGCAATTTTGGGCTTTTTTGGTGATTTTTGAGTTTTAAAGTTCAGTTTTGGGGTGAATTCGGGAGATTTTGGGCAATTTGGGGGTTTTTTTGTGATTTTTGAGGTTTAAAGTTCAATTCTGGGGTGAATTTGTGCAATTTTGGGCAATTTTTGGGGGTTTTTGTTGATTTTTGAGCTTTTAGGTTCAGTTTTGGGGTGAATTTGGGAGATTTTGGGGTTTAAACTCGGTTTTAACGAATCCTCACCTGCTCTGGAATCACCTGAGAGGATTTGGGTTATAAATCCCCAATTTTGGGTCAAATTTAGGCAATTTTGGGGATTTTTGGTCTTTTTTGGCTATTTTTGAGCTTTTAGGTTTAGTTTTGGGGTGAATTTTGGAGATTTTGGTGTTTAAACTCGGTTTTAACAAATCCTCACCTGGTCTGGGATCACCTGAGAGGATTTGGGTTAAAAATCCCCAATTTTGGGTCAAATTTGGGCAATTTTGGTGTTTTTTGGCGATTTTTGAGCTTTTAGGTTCAGTTTTGGGGTGAATTTGTGAGATTTTGGGGTTTAAACTCAGTTTTAACAAATCCTCACCTGCTCTGGGATCACCTGAGAGGATTTGGGTTAAAAATCCCCAATTTTGGGTCAAATTTGGGCAATTTTGGGGATTTTTGGTCTTTTTTGGCGATTTTTGAGCTTTTAGGTTCAGTTTTGGGGTGAATTTGGGAGATTTTGGGGTTTAAACTCGGTTTTAACAAAGCCTCACCTGCTCTGGGATCACCTGAGAAGATTTGGGTTAAAAACCCCAAATTTTGGGTCAATTTTGGGCAAATTTGGGCAATTTTGGTCTTTTTTGGTGATTTTTGAGCTTTTAGGTTCAGTTTTGGGGTGAATTTGGGAGATTTTGG